CCACGGGGACATGTGTACGTCTACTGTGGTCCGATGTATAAAGTAAGAGTAATTATGGTGATTGTTTTTTGCTTTGTTTGCTTCCGCTGCCCTGCTGTGTGCTCCGCGTTGCTGCCCACATCCGTCATGTTGAACGCGTCTCAGTCACACTCATATGCATGACACGCACACGACTGTTTAAGTGGACGCACCGTTGAAGATGGGTGTAAGCGCACTGGAGCCATTTGGGCGCAGGTTTTTGTTTTTACTATTTTGCTTCATTGCTGCTTGTTTTCTTTTGTTTTGTTTCTTCCTTGCTTTGTGTGTTTTTCTTCTTGTTAAATTATTGCAGGTCGCTGTGCGTTTTTTGCACTTTCATTGGTTCAATATTTCTCATGAAATGCGTGCTGCTGCTGCTGGTGGTGGTGTTTTTTACTGTGCCGTGTCTTTTTGCTTTCACTCTGCGTTGACGGGGAGGTGGTTTGTGCTGAAGGCTGCACGCAAGTGACAGGAGTGATGGCGATGATGATGACTGGCCGTGTGCTGCTGGTGTGTGCCCTCTGCGTGCTGTGGTGCTGTTTATCTGTGGTAGCCAATGGTGATACTGATGATCTTCGTAATGGCAGGGACGAAAAGAATGCGGAACAGTTATCTTCTTCAGATCTGAGTTTACCAGTGAGGCAAGGAGAACCAACGGCAGCAGCAGCGGGAGGAGGAGGAGGAGGAGGATCTACAAACTCACAGGAAGGGAAGGATGCTTCGATGCCAATCACGGACATAAGTGTCCCACAAGAGCAGGAAGTGAAGTTAGATGCCGGTCCACACAAACCAACTGGGAATGAATATGAAAATAAAGGGTCGACGGAAGCTGGAGCTGACACGAGAAAACAAACAGTACCTCCACCACTAACACATGCTCCTTCTCCTCCTCCAGAAGGACCACCACTATTGTCACCATCAGAAGAAGAAGAAGATGAACTAAAAAAAGCAACACAAGACCAGGATAGTCCAGTCGAACACAAATCTACACAAAATAATAAAGTATTAGAAGAAGAAGAACCGGGACATGAACTGAACACCCAAAACCTACCGCCAAAAGAACAACACACATCCGAACAACTTCAAGAGAACCAAGAAAACGGAAAAGAAAAACAACGATCAGGACAACTGGAACATCGAGAACATCGAGAAGAACTAAAAGATCAGCAACAAAAACAGGAAAAACAACATGAAGAAAGCATAAAACATGAAGAAGAACAACAGCAACAAAAAGATGAAATACAAGATCAACAAAATCAACAGCATGAACATCCCACAGAGAACGAAGTGGAATCCGCAAAGGATGAAAACGCTTTTCGCACAAATGTCACCGCAAATAAAGACGACGGTGACGGCAGCAACGCGGTCTCCCACACCACCTCCCCTCTTTTGCTTTTTGTTGTTGCATGTGCGGCTGCGGCTGCGGTGGTGACCGCGTGAGAGTGAGTGAGAGAGAGCCGTGCACCGCCCTCACACACACTCGTCTTTCACTCACTCTCTGTGTGTGTCCCCTTGCATGGACTCTCGCCCTCACCTCATCCCACGAAGCACACACATAATGTGCCCATTGTATATATGCATGCACACCCATGCAGGCCCGTTGGTGCTCTCTTTTGCACGACACGCACCGCTGCCGTCCTGCCTGGCTGTATGGGCGGAGCACCGTAACTGTTTCTGTTTTGTTTTCATTGCATTGAGTGGCCGACCTCTCTCTCTCTCTCTCCCTGTGTGTGTGTGTTTTGCTTTACGGGAGCAATGAGAGTGTGTGCGCTGGTCGTCCCACGCTTCGGCTTCTTGTTTGTTTTACTTGTGTTGTGGTTGAGAGCACCCATTCCGCGGGCGGCGTGTGTGTGTGTGTGTGTGATGATATGAGTAATTTGCGTGCGTGCTATCCGCTTCTTTCTGCCGTTGCTTTCTTCTGACTCTCTTGTGCCGCACAGCTGCTTTGCAATTATAGGCACTGACAAACACACGGACACATGCGCAGAATCTCCTTGTTGCACATGTTGTGGAGTGGCGTGAACGCTGTGAACGCACGCACAAGATTGTGGCTGCGGCGGCTCTTATGAGTTAGGAGGTCGTGAGCCCGCAATGCGTTTCGGCGATGTGTTGCGGGCGTGATGTTGGTGGTGTGCAGTCAGTGAGTGGTGTGGCATTTCGGGTGCCTGTGACGAGTGTCTATTGACTCTCTCCCAACAGCTGTTCCTGCCGACGTGTCTCTCCCGTTGTTGATTTGGCGACGGAGGATCCTCCGGCCGTGTGGAATGATGTGCGGGTGCGTTGGAAGAGACAACAACAAAACGACTGGCGGCAGCGTATGTGTTGCGAGGGCGGTTGTGCTTTTTTGCATTCCGCTGGTTGTGTTTTTTGCGTGGGCGTTGCTCAGTGTGTGCTGACGCGTGACTAATAACGACGCACACGCCGTGGCTCCTGCTGCTGCTGGTGGTGACCGTCGCAGTGTGCTCCCGGTGCACTGTCCATCCTTCTCCTGTTCCGTGTGTCTGTGTGCGTGAGTTGTTGTTGTTGGGAGTGATTGCTGCGGCGCGGATGATGGTGCCACTCACTGTGGATGGGTGGCGGTGCTCACTGTTTCATCCTCTTTTCTTGGCATGTTTTCCCTTTTCTCTCCACTTCTCTCTCAATTACACACTAGGAAGGAAAGCAAGCGCGAATCGCTACTGTGAGATTTGAAGGCACTGAAAGGACCAACAGCACACACACCGCCCACACACACATATTTATATGCTCTCACGTGTTGCTGCAGTGAAGGCACCCCGCACACACAACCGTCGCCGCGTGACCGGATCCAGCGGAAGGAGGAGGAAAGGAAGAGAGAGTGAGCAGCAGAGGCCCAACATGTCCCGGCATCACTTCTATTCATCGGTGCTGCTTCTACTTGTCATGATGATGTGCTGCAACACTGGTGGGGCTGCGACCGCTGTTGTGACGGCGGCAGGTTCGGGAAATGCAAAGGAAACATATTTTGCTTGGAGAGATAAGAGTGGTAAAGAAACAGTGAGTTCTCTCCGTGTTCCCAGCCTTGTTGAAATGAATGGTGATGTGTTTGCCGTTGCCGAGGCGCATTGCAAGGAGGGTACTGAAAAAGTTTTTACTGGGATTGCCTCGAAGCTCCTGGCGTTGACTGGTGAACAAACAAGGAAGGAGTTGGCTACAACTGAAGTGAAGACACAAGTACTGGAGGAATGTTCCTCCGAAAAAGAGAAAGTCACCTGTCGTATAGCGGATCGGGCTGATTCCCAAAGCCAGACAAGAATACATGTGGGCCGACCAACAACAGTTGTGAAGGGAAGTGATATTTACATGCTTGCTGGAAGTTACAGTTGGACACTTACCGCCGATGATCAGGCAGCCGATGCGGGCGACTGGGGACTCATGCTGGTGAAAGGGAACGTCAGTGAGGAGGCAGAAAGTAAAAAAAGGATCCTTTGGAACGACACTTATGCTATCCCGTGGAATTACAAAGGCAAACAACACGAATCCTTGACAAAGCTGACTGGCAGCGGTGGATCGGGTGTTAAGATGAATGACGGCACCCTTGTGTTCCCAGTGGAAGGCACGAAAAAGTTGAATGGCACAGAAAATGATGGGAGGACTGTTTCGCTGATCATTCACTCCTCGGATGCTGCGGGTTGGGTGCTGCCGAAGGGGATGTCTGCCGATGGCTGCGGTGATCCCTCCGTCGTGGAGTGGAAGGACAAACTCATCATGATGACTGCGTGTGATGATGGCCGCCGCAGGGTGTACGAGTCCGGTGACAAGGGGGAGTCGTGGACGGAGGCCCTCGGGACACTCTCGCGCGTGTGGGGCAACAAAAGGGTTGAAAAGGTTGATATCGTTAGGAGCGGGTTCATCACAGCGACTGTTGGAAATGATAATAAAAAAGTGATGCTCGTCACTCTGCCGGTGTATGCCAAGAAAGATGAGAAAGATAACGAGGAAAAGAGTGTACTCCATCTTTGGCTGTCGGACAATACGCACATTGTTGATATTGGACCGGTATCTGGGGAGGAAGAGGACGTCGCCGCCAGCTCCCTGTTGTACAAAAGTGGTGGAAATGGAGATACTAATGAGCAGGAGGAGAAGTTGATTGCACTGTACGAGAAGAAGGGTGGTGACGACGTAACACCTCACAGTTTGCTCACTGTGCCTCTGAATAAGCAGCTGGAGAAGGTGAAGGAGGTGCTGGCGGCCTGGAAGGAAGCGGACGACACTGTCTCCAAGCTGTGTGCCACTTTAGTTGCTCGGGAGGTTACCTCACCTGATAATGCCTGCAGCGCTGCCATGCCGGTGGATGGGCTGGTTGGCTTTTTGTCTGGCAAATTCTCTAGGAAAACGTGGAGGGACGAGTACCTCGGAGTGAACGCCACAGTACATAATAATGATGATGGGGCAACAAAGGCCTCCGATGGCGTGAAGTTCCAGGGAGCGTGGGCGGAGTGGCCCGTTGGCAGGCAGGGGGAGAATCAGCTGTACCACTTTGCGAACTACAACTTCACTCTTGTGGCGACGGTGTCCATCGACGGTGAGCCGAAGGAAGATACCCCCATTCCATTGATGGGTGTGCATCTGGAGGGTAAAGACAAACTTATGGAGTTGTCATATGACAGTGAAAAGAAGTGGCAGGTGCTTTGCAGTGACGGCAAGATCAAGAAGCTAAAAAGTACTTGGGAGACACGGGCACAGTACCAAGTGGCCATTGTGTTACGGAACGGCAACCAGGGCACCGCGTACGTCGATGGTAAGCGTGTGTGTGGGGATGTGCAACGTAGCTTGGATAATACGGATTCGAAAGGGATCTCCCACTTCTACATTGGAGGGGATGGAAGCAGTGCAGGGAGCAAAGAAGACGTGTCTGTTACTGTGACGAACGTCCTGCTGTACAACCGCCCGTTGACTTTTTCAGGTGGGAATGCCGAGGTGGAAGAAGTTACCGATTCACCATCAGCGGATCAGGAACCATCAGCGGAACCTGCTTCTCCATTTGTGGCAAGGGATCAAAATGCGGCGCCTTCTGCAGGTGAACTTCCTGACGTTCCAGTGGAGCAAACGACCTCGCAGCAGTCTCCACAAAAGAGTGAAACACAAAAAAATACGATGGTGCGGGAATCTGCCGCTACACAAGAAACGCCGGCGAATACATCGGAGGGAAGTGTGGAGAAGGCGGCGGCTTCGAACTCCCATGCCGCTGGAGAAGCAACAGGTGATGGCAGCACTGTGAGAGGGAGCGGACTGCTGCCATCGCTGCTTCTTCTGTTGGGACTGTGGGGGTTTGCGGCTCTGTGAGGAGTGACTGGCTGCCACGTGGAACACTTGCGATCTCCCCAGCACCGATACACACCTGGCAATGAATTTCTCTTCTCAAATAACTTTTATTTATTAACTTTTACTTTTTGCTTTATGTGCGTTAAGTTTTTTACATTTCTTTTTCTTTTGTTTTTTTGTCTCTCATCCCTCTTTTTTGCTTTTGGGGGCAATCAATATGGGCCTCTTTTTCTACTCTTCCCTCTTTAATTGTTTCTTCTGCACTCTTCCTGTGAGGGGTGCCGTGTGTTTCCCGCCCAACTGCTCCACTCGCACACCCACCGACACGCTCATGACGACGGCCCTGTGCGCCTCGCCTGCTGCACGCATGAGGAGGGGCCGCGACGAACGGCGCGCTGAGGGAGCCGTGACGTGTGGGCGTGCGACGAGGGCCTGTGGGGCGGAGCACACATTTCTTTCCCTCTTGTCTTGTTTTCTTTTTTGCGGCCAGGACGGGCAGACACCCGCAGCGCCACACACACAGCCACACCCTGCCGCCGTGTTTTTTTTGTTTGTTCATTTCACGCGCTGGCAGTCCCGTCAGCACTTCTCTCCCTCCTGATGATTTTTTTTCTTTTGCTGCACTCACTCTTCCGATGGAGAGGCGCGACTCCCGTCATGTCTGCGTGCTCTTCTCAGTCCCCACACACACGAGTGACTGTGCTCTGCGGGCCGCACTCACACGCCGATGAAAGGGCTGAGGGGAGCACCAACACGCAGATGACCCCATGAAATATAAACGATGTGCGGACACATGGAGGGTCAGACGGTTGAAACACACGCAACCATCTTTTCAATTTTCTTTTCCGGCAAAATATATACAGACAGTTCGGTGTGGCGACACGGCAGCCAGGCGATTTTTAAATTTGTGTGGAACAGTAATGGACGATATCTTTTTCATTTGTAATTATTTTGTGCGATGGGTTTATATAAGACGAAGGGGGACGTTTTTTTTTTTGTTTGTTTTAAATAAATCTTGTGTGGATTACCGCTTATTGGGCTGCTGTGCAGTCATGAGTTTGAGCGGTCTTCTTGTTGTTGCTTCCGCCATGCGTCTCTGCTGTACATTTTTGTGCGTCTCTCCACATACTCTGCTCCCTCTCTTCTACTTCTTTGCTTTGTGTTTCTGCAGGCACACACAACCACACGCACAAGATGCACATTGCAGTGGATTTGAATGCTCCTTTTGTAGTGCATGCTGGCAGTTGCGTGTGGCGGCTGCTTTCTTCTTCCGTGGCCATGAGGAGAAGGGAGGAGGAGAGGGAGTGCGCAGCCCGAGTCTCTTTTCCTGCGGGTGTGGTGCACCGTGTGTGGCTGCGTTGAGTTGGGCACCGTGTCCCATTGAGGGCGGGATGGCTGGAAATTTTTTTGCCGCGTCATGGATGGATGAGGGTTTGCTTGCGCGTGTGTGTTGTGTGGTGGGTGCTCGCTCCGTGTGCGTTGTGTGGTGGCCGCGGGTTTTTGCCATTTCCCTGGGGCTGTAGAGATGAGCTGGGGGAGATGGTGGTGGATGTCTTCTCCTCCTGCATGGTGGGTGGCTGCTGGCGTTGTGTGCCTTCCTTGCGTGGATGCCGTCTCGTGTTTTGTGAACTGTGCGGCTGGGCCTGCTGCCCTCCCCTCATGTTGTCTGCTCTCTCTCTCTCGCTGTATCCGCTGTGCTCCGTCCCTCTCCCTCTTGTTCCATTCCTTTTCCTTCTGGCTCACGGATCAGCTGACTGACTCCAGCGACTCCACTACGTGTGATGATGACTGCGATGGTGACGGTGCGGCTTTGTGTGGTGTGCGCCGTGCAGTTCCTTGCGCTCTCGTGCTGCTGCTGCTGCACGTCCGTGTGCGTGACAGCAGGTGAAGAAGGTGTTGCAAGCCCCACTCCGCTTCTTCCTGTGCCAAGGAAACAAACTGAGGATGGCCCAAAGAATGCAGGCAAAAATAAAGCTAACGATAATGAAAACTCCAGTCTACCGTCTTTTGTTTCCTGAAGGAATAGGTGCGACACTTACGCATGACTGATCCACTGAGTCTGGCACGCGAGACGGAACACGTTTGAAGGACGAAACGTAACAGGTGGAAGATGCGAAGAACAAAACGGATCAGTCACTGAGTGATTCCATTACGGTGCACGAAGAAACCGTTTCCAGGAAGGAACAGCAGACAAGTGGACACGGTTTACCGCCCTCTCCACCAACGGAAGTAAGTACGAATCATGATACGACAAAAGCAACAGGTCCATTAGGCATGCCAGGAGGAACAACTCTCCCGGTTGCTGCGCCAGCACCAAGTAAGAACTCCCCTGCGATGAAGGGAAAAGATACTGCAAGTACGGGAAAGACACCACGTAATTCCGACACAAAAATGGAACCAACTATGAAGCTGCTGCGCCAGAGAACTCAATTGAAGAACGGACGTCAAATACGATGCCTACCACGATGAGGGCCGCTGCGACAGAGGCGTCAACCACGACGACCACCCGCGCACCGTCACGTCTTCGCGAAATCGACGGCAGCCTCAGCAGCTCTGCGTGGGTGTGTGCCCCGCTGCTGCTCGCCGCATCCGCGCTGGCGTGCACCGCTGTGGGCTAAAAGGGAGCGTGGGCTGTGCGTGCCAGCACTTAGCCACGGGGACATGTGTACGTCTACTGTGGTCCGATGTATAAAGTAAGAGTAATTATGGTGATTGTGTTTTGTTTTGTTTGGTTCCGCTGCCCTGCTGTGTGCTCCGCGTTGCTTCCCACATCCGCCACGTTGAACGCGTCCCAGAGACACTCATATGCATGACACGCACACGACTGTTTAAGTGGCCACACTGTTGAGGATAGGTGTAAGCGCACTGGAGCCATTTGGGCGCAGGTTTTTTTTGTGTTTTTAATATTTTACTTTATTGCTGCTTGTTTACTTTTGTTTTGTTTCTTCCTTGCTTTGTGTGTTTTTCTTCTTGTTAAATTATTGCAGGTCGCTGTGCGTTTTTTGCACTTTCATTGGTTCAATATTTCTCATGAAATGCGTGCTGCTGGTGGTGTTTTTTGCACGACACGCACCGCTGCCGTCCTGCCTGGCTGCATGGGCGGAGCACCGTAACTGTTTCTGTTTTGTTTCTATTGCATTGAGTGGGCGACCTCTCTCTCTCTCTCTCCCTGTGTGTGTGTGTTTTGCTTTACGGGAGCAATGAGAGTGTGTGCGCTGGTCGTCCCACGCTTCGGCTTTTTGTTTTGTTTTTCATTGTTTTGAGGTTGAGTGCACCCATTCCGCGGGCTGCGTGTGTGGGTGTATGATGACAGCGGACACTTTAATCTTCTCTTCTTATATTCTCATATTGTTTCAAAAGTGTCACCCTCTTGTATTCTTGTCGGGCCACTAAGTTTTCTATACGCGTGCCATGCGTCAGTTGATCCACGTCACCCCGCAGCCACCAGCGCTGCTGTTACTTCTGCTTGTGATGATGTCTGTGACGTGTTGTGCATGCGGGTGCTTTGCCGTCACCCTGACGTACCCTTTCTCCCCCTGACAAGCCGATGCGTGCCGCCAGCGCCAAGTTGATCTCGGCTGTGGCGAATGACGTGTCCTTTTGGAGCAGAGGGTGCGTCGCAGACATACACCGTCATTGGGAGGAATGGATGGGCGCCTATCTGCATCAATGTTTCGACAAGGGACCTGGATGATGCCAGTAAGTATTGCAGCTCAGAGCGGCATTACGCAATGAATTCATTGTGTGAAAATTGTGACTGTAACGATGAAGTTTTTTTCTACTGAGAATAAATGAAATTTTTCTTTTTGTTATACGTTGCGGCCACTATTCGCTGATAGGCTGAGGACTGTCCGTAGAAACGTGGCCAGTTCTTCCGCCCAAAACGGTGCTGTCGTGCGAGAGGGGTTATCCCACATCATGTGCGGCAGGGCCTCCCGTGGACCGTCAGGCGGCTCAGCGGCTGGTGGCGGCTGCAGTAACGGAGTGGCTGGAGGGCTATGATTGTCATTGGAGCTTGCAGAGGTGCTTTGTCCGTTTTTTGCTCGTTGATACGCTTGACATTTACGGTAGTGACCTGAAAAGCTTGCACTCCGCGGCGATGCACTCGCTCAGCCCTCGTGCCGTTTCGTCACGGACAGGCGTCACCACGTCTGGGGTCGTGCGTCGTGGCGTGGATACAGGCTGACGTGGGTGGTGTGCCAGCAGTGCTGACAGGCGGCGGTGGACCAGTCCTCCGCTCACCCCTAGCAGCATAGGGAGCAGCGGGATTTGCCGGCAACTCTCTCTGTGCGGATGCGTCTTTACCGTGTTTGCGGATGGAAGTGGTGTATTCCGTTTCCCAGGAACCTCGCAGGCTGCCATCAGAGAGGTGTTGATCATCGTTCTGTGCGAGCAGCGGGCGGCGGGTACAAGATGGCGCAGAAACGTATTCAATACACTGCCGGAACCAGGGGTCAAGCCAGGCAAGGAGTCGCGGATGGCTAATTCAGGCGCATACGGCGTGAAGGGCCAATCCATATTCCAGTTTTCAGGAAGCACGCAAGCACAAGTGTGCAGACCACAGCGGGGATCGCAGCACGCGAGACTCAGACAGTGTGACGGACGCGCGGGTCTGCCTGCTGCCGAGGCAGTGCACAGACGCAGTCCCAACAGTACCGCAGCACAGCCGATCCCAGTGAGCGGGGACGTGGTGCCGCCATGCCTCGGGGTATCACAGGTCTGGGCTCGAGAGGGCACCAAGCTGTTTCGCACGGACCTCTAGCAGCATGGAGAAGCCACGACGGAGGGCATGAGTGCGGTACTCCCGTTTGCAGAGCACTTCAGCTCGGGGCAGGCTTCCTCCTGCTGAGGCTGTGTGCGCGTTCCATGCTGCCGCTGCAACACACTCGGCATGCTCCATTCCGTCCGTCCAGATACATGTGGGGCTTTCACGGCCGCCGCGCGGTACGGTGCATTTGCGCATCTCCAACCATGTGGTCACAGTGGCCAGAGGCGTTGCACACGCCGAGGTGGATGCATTCCAGTCGATTTCACGCAGGACAACAGCGGCATGTTTCCGTCGTGGCAGCATGCCTGCCTGTCGCGGGATGTCGTCCTCCGTCCCTGCAGTGTGGGATGGCAGATGGTGGTCCGAGGCCATGTAAACTGGTGGACGTTTAGTGGGAGACACGCAGTACGCGTTGCGCAGTCACGTCGGGAAACAAGACGCTGCGGCCGCTGGTCCGCGTTGTCCGTGCCGGGTCATCGGACAGCTCAGAGTCCATGCCGCTTGGGGTGGCGGCGAGGTCCTCTCCTGCCGTCGTGGATGGTGAGCGACCGTCACGCAGCTCGTAGTGTGAATTCGGGTAGCCCGCAATAGACGCTGCAAGACAAAGGCGAAGAATGGTGCTCGCAAAGTGAGCAGCGTGGGCAATTGCCGATGGAAGGCTGCATAATTGCACCACGTACATGCTGGGGCAGGCCGGTGGGCACACGCGGAAGTCGTTGGTCTCCAGGCAGTTAGTGCCAGGGAGCGACAGGCGCTCGCACGGTAGAGAGTGGCGCACCAAGAAGGCAACGCCACCACTGCGCCCAGTGCAGGCCTGAAGAAAGTCATTGCAGCCAGAAACTTTTGTCGCTACGTTGCTACGGTCATTTATTTCCCGAAAAAAAAAACGATGTCAGTTTGATGCCGCTCCAACCGCGCAGCAAACGCAATCTTTTTTACGGACGAGAGGCCTGCAATGTTACGCTGCCAAATAGTGATGTAGCCATCCTCCTCGGTACCAGAGTTCTTGTGGAATTCACCGCAACGGGTGATATCAACGGAGCGATCGCTGCGAAACGGTCGTGCAGTTTTGTCCGACAGCCTGCAGGCAGACCGCTTCACCTCCCCGCACCGAGCATGGCGCGGAACCTTCTCGAGGGGTGAAGTCGTCTTGGTCTCCGTCGTGCTCGCAGCAACGCCCTGCTGCGGAGTTCCTACATGCAACCAGAGCCCCAGCACCGCGACAGGGTGAGGACCCCATCGCTGGGGCCAGGAGAAGCCGCAGTGCCTCCTGCTCTCATCAGGGATCCTTCTTGACGTCTTGGTGCGGACAAGCGCCCATCGGTTCTTACAAACGAAGCCGTACACCTGCGACGCATCCTGCGCTGTGAGAGGCACGACCCTCACCACAACCGGAGCCGCCCACGCGCCGTCGGTACGCACCGCATCGAAAAGAAAAAAGCATGGATGCGTCAGGGTGACAGCAAAGCATCCGCTAGCAATCACTTCACAAGCATCACCACAAGCAGCACCAGCAGCGCTGCAAGCCACGGGTTAACGTGGACCAACTGACGCATGGCGTATGTCGAAGGAAAAACTCAGTGGCCTCACAAGGAAAAAAGAGGCTGACACTTCAAAACAAAAAAAAACGATATGGGAATAACAAAAGAAGATTAAAGTTTCCGCAGTCAAAGAAAGCCACCAATCAAAGAAAAGTGGAATGGGTGCACCCAACCACAATAAGACAAAACAATAAAACAAAAAGCCGAAGCGTGGGACGACCAGCGCACACACACTCGCATTGCTCCCGTAAAGCAAAGCACACACACAGGGAGGGAGAGAGAGAGAGAGGTCGCCCACTCAATGCAATGAAAACAAAACAGAAACAGTTACGGTGCTCCGCCCATGCAGCCAGGCAGGACGGCAGCGGTGCGTGTCGTGCAAAAGAGAGCACCAACGGGCCTGCATGGGTGTGCATGCATATATACAATGGGCACATTATGTGTGTGCTTCGTGGGATGAGGTGAGGGCGAGAGTCCATGCAAGGGGACACACACAGAGAGAGTGAGTGAAAGAAGGACGAGTGTGTGTGAGGGCGGTGCACGGCTCTCTCTCCCTCACTCTCACGCGGCCACCACCGCAGCAGCAGCCGCACACGCAACGACAAGAAGAAGCAAAAGAGGGGAGGTGGTGTGAGAGGCCGCGGTGCTGCTGTCACTGTCGCCAGGTGTCGTGTTTATTTGATTAGTGGCGTTTGCACCAGTTATGGTTTCTTTTACTTTGCCTGGAGGATTCTCTTGATGTTGTTCCTTTTGTTTCTCTCGTTCCTCTTCTGTTTCATCATCCTTTTCTTCCCCAGCTCTTTGTTTGATTCCTGTCGGAGTTTCTCCTGCATTTTTGTGTTGGACTTCCTGCCGAATATCAGTTGAATTTACTTTCGGGGCACCTGAGACATGTGCAGCCTCTTCTCTCTCCTGAGCCCGATGTCTTTCATGACCCTCAACACCTTCTTCCCCTTCTTCTTCTTCTTTTTCATTAGAACCATCATTGCCGTTGTGTTCTCCCGAAGAATGATCTCCTGCAGGATTAATTGGTATTGTTGCTTCAACATTTGTTTTTTGTTCTTTTCCCTGCGACGGTTCATGTCCTTCTCCACTTTTTGTATCCTCTTCTTGGACTGGATGTGGGTGATCTTGCGGCTGTGGTCCACTTCCTTCATTTTGTTTGGTTACTGCCGCTTCACCATCACCAACTGTTTCTTTTTCTGACAGGTTTTGTGTTCCACTTTCGACTTGGCGTTGATTTTCAGGTTTCGGCCCATTTCCATTTACATTTTCCAGTTTTTCATCAGCGGCTTGTGGTTGTCCTCCTCCTCCTCCTTCAGGTGGTGTTGGTGGTGGTATTTCTTCCTCTTCTTCCTCTTCCTCCTCTTCTTCTGTCAAGAGTTGTTCGTCACCTGAATCCTCAGTTCCGTCTTTAATATCTGATGCTTTTAAACCTGAGATTTGTGAAACTCCCCGTCCAATTGGCGATGATTCCCGTGAACCTTTACCAACAACACTCGAAGAAGCACCAGGCGGAGTTTCACCGGTCTCCCCTTCTTCACACCTACCGCCAGGAGTACCGCACCACAGCACGCAGAGGGCACACACCAGCAGCACACGGCCAGTCATCATCATCGCCATCACTCCTGTCACTTGCGTGCAGCCTTCAGCACAAACTAACTCCCCGTCAACGCAGAGCGGAAGCAAAAAGAGAAACACGGTCGCTACAACACACAGCCACGGACCGTAACAAATGGCAGCAGCCCAGCAACAATGAAACAGATGGAATCAGTGCGATTGCAAAACTCTCACACTGCCCCGCAATCCAGAAATTACAAAAGCAATAAAAACATTAAAACAAAGTGAGCTTTGAAAACCAAACCAAAGGCCCCACTGCGCATGCTTATGAGCGTGTCTGGAATGCGTTCAACGTGGCGGATGTTGGGAGCATCGCGGAGCACACAGCAGGGCAGCCAAAGCAAACAAAGCAAAACGATCATCATAATTACTCTTACTTCATACATCGGACCACAGTAGAAGTACACATGTCCCCGTGGCTAAGTGCTGGCACGCACAGCCCACGCTCCCTTTTAGCCCAGAGTGGTGTACGCCAGCGCGGATGCGGCGAGCAGCAGCGGGGCACACACCCACGCAGAGCTGCTGAGGCTGCCGTCGATTTCGCGAAGATGTGACGGTGCGCGGGTGGTCGTCGTAGTTGGTGCATCTGTCGCAGCGGCTCCCATCGTGGTAGGCATCGTATTTGATGTCTGTTCCTCAATTGAGTTCTCTGGCGCAGCAGCCTCATAGTTGGTTCCATTTTTGTGTCGGAATTACGTGGTGTCTTTCCCGCAGTTGCAGTATCTTTTCCCTTCAACGCAGGGGAGTTCTTACTTGGTGCTGGCGCAGCAACCGGGAGAGTTGTTCCTCCTGGCATGCCTAATGGAGCTGTTGCTTTTGTCGTATCATGATTCGTACTTACTTCCGTTGGTGGAGAGGGCGGTAAACCGTGTCCACTTGTCTGCTGTTCCTTCCTGGAAACGGTTTCTTCGTGCACCGTAATGGAATCACTCAGTGACTGATCCGTTTTGTTCTTCGCATCTTCCACCTGTTACGTTTCGTCCTTCAAACGTGTTCCGTCTCGCGTGCCAGACTCAGTGGATCAGTCATGCGTAAGTGTCGCACCTATTCCTTCAGGAAACAAAAGACGGTAGACTGGAGTTTTCATTATCGTTAGCTTTATTTTTGCCTGCATTCTTTGGGCCATCCTCAGTTTGTTTCCTTGGCACAGGAAGAAGCGGAGTGGGGCTTGCAACACCTTCTTCACCTGCTGTCATGCACACGGACGTGCAGCAGCAGCAGCACGAGAGCGCAAGGAACTGCACGGCGCACACCACACAAAGCCGCACCGTCACCATCGCAGTCATCATCACACGTAGTGGAGTCGCTGGAGTCAGTCAGCTGATCCGTGAGCCAGAAGGAAAAGGAATGGAACAAGAGGGAGAGGGACGGAGCACAGCGGATACAGCGAGAGAGAGAGAGCAGACAACATGAGGGGAGGGCAGCAGGCCCAGCCGCACAGTTCACAAAACACGAGACGGCATCCACGCAAGGAAGGCACACAACGCCAGCAGCCACCCACCATGCAGGAGGAGAAGACATCCACCACCATCTCCCCCAGCTCATCTCTACAGCCCCAGGGAAATGGCAAAAACCCGCGGCCACCACACAACACACACGCGCAAGCAAACCCTCATCCATCCATGACGCGGCAAAAAAATTTCCAGCCATCCCGCCCTCAATGGGACACGGTGCCCAACTCAACGCAGCCACACACGGTGCACCACACCCGCAGGAAAAGAGACTCGCGCTGCGCACTCCCTCTCCTCCTCCCTTCTCCTCATGGCCACGGAAGAAGAAAGCAGCCGCCACACGCAACTGCCAGCATGCACTACAAAAGGAGCATTCAAATCCACTGCAATGTGCATCTTGTGCGTGTGGTTGTGTGTGCCTGCAGAAACACAAAGCAAAGAAGTAGAAGAGAGGGAGCAGAGTATGTGGAGAGACGCACAAAAATGTACAGCAGAGACGCATGGCGGAAGCAACAACAAGAAGACCGCTCAAACTCATGACTGCACAGCAGCCCAATAAGCGGTAATCCACACAAGATTTATTTAAAACAAACAAAAAAAAAACGTCCCCCTTCGTCTTATATAAACCCATCGCACAAAATAATTACAAATGAAAAAGATATCGTCCATTACTGTTCCACACAAATTTAAAAACCGACTGGCTGCCGTGTCGCCACACCAAACCGTCTGTATATATTTTGCCCGGAAAAGAAAATTGAAAAGATGGTTGCGTGTGTTTCAACCGTCTGACCCTCCATGTGTCCGCACATCGTTTATATTTCATGGGGTCATCTGCGTGTTGGTGCTCCCCTCAGCCCTTTCATCGGCGTGTGAGTGCGGCCCGCAGAGCACAGTCACTCGTGTGTGTGGGGACTGAGAAGAGCACGCAGACATGACGGGAGTCGCGCCTCTCCATCGGAAGAGTGAGCGCAGCAAAAGAAAAAAAAATCATCAGGAGGGAGAGAAATGCTGACGGGACTGCCAGCGCGTGAAATGCGCACGAAAAGCAAAAGCACAAAAAGAAAAACACGGCGGCAGGGTGTGGCTGTGTGTGTGGCGCTGCGGGTGTCTGCCCGCCCTGGCCGCAAAAAAGAAAAAAAGACAAGAGGGAAAGAAATGTGTGCTCCGCCCCACAGGCCCTCGTCGCACGCCCACACGTCACGGCTCCCTCAGCGCGCCGTTCGTCGCGGCCCCTCCTCATGCGTGCAGCAGGCGAGGCGCACAGGGCCGTCGTCATGAGCGTGTCGGTGGGTGTGCGAGTGGAGCAGTTGGGCGGGAAACACACGGCACCCCTCACAGGAAGAGTGCAGCAAGAAACAATTAAAGAGGGAAGAGTAGAAAAAGAGGCCCATATTGATTGCCCCCAAAAGCAAAAAAGAGAAGGGATGAGGGAGTGAGAGATGAAAAAACAAAAGAAAAAGAAATGTAAAAAACTTAACGCACATAAAGCAAAAAGTAAAAGTTAATAAATAAAAGTTATTTGAGAAGAGAAATTCATTGCCAGGTGTGTATCGGTGCTGGGGAGATCGCAAGTGTTCCACGTGGCAGCCAGTCACTCCTCACAGAGCCGCAAACCCCCACAGTCCCAACAGAAGAAGCAGCGATGGCAGCAGTCCGCTCCCTCTCACAGTGCTGCCATCACCTGTTGCTTCTCCAGCGGCATGGGATTTCGAAGCCGCCGCCTTCTCCACACTTCCCTCCGATGTATTCGCCGGCGTTTCTTGTGTAGCGGCAGATTCCCGCACCATCGTATTTTTTTGTGTTTCACTCTTTTGTGGAGACTGCTGCGAGGTCGTTTGCTCCACTGGAACGTCAGGAAGTTCACCTGCAGAAGGCGCCGCATTTTGATCCCTTGCCACAAATGGAGAAGCAGGTTCCGCTGATGGTTCCTGATCCGCTGATGGTGAATCGGTAACTTCTTCCACCTCGGCATTCCCACCTGAAAAAGTCAACGGGCGGTTGTACAGCAGGACGTTCGTCACAGTAACAGACACGTCTTCTTTGCTCCCTGCACTGCTTCCATCCCCTCCAATGTAGAAGTGGGAGATCCCTTTCGAATCCGTATTATCCAAGCTACGTTGCACATCCCCACACACACGCTTACCATCGACGTACGCAAAGCCCTGGTTGCCGTTCCGTAACACAATGGCCACTTGGTACTGTGTCCGTGTCTCCCAAGTAATTTTGAGCTTCTTGATCTTGCCGTCACTGCAAAGCACCTGCCACTTCTTTTCACTGTCATATGACAACTCCATAAGTTTGTCTTTACCCTCCAGATGCACACCCATCAATGGAATGGGGGTATCTTCCTTCGGCTCACCGTCGATGGACACCGTCACCACAAGAGTGAAGTTGTAGTTCGCAAAGTGGTACAGCTGATTCTCCCCCTGCCTGCCAACGGGCCACTCCGCCCACGCTCCCTGGAACGTCACTCCATCGGAGGCCTTTGTTGCCCCATCATCATTATTATGTACTGTGGCGTTCACCCCGAGGTACTCGTCCCTCCACGTTTTCCTAGAGAATTTGCCAGACAAAAAGCCAACCAGCCCATCCACCGGCATGGCAGCGCTGCAGGCATTATCAGGTGAGGTAACCTCCCGAGCAACTAAAGTGGCACACAGCTTGGAGACAGTGTCGTCCGCTTCCTTCCAGGCCGCCAGCACCTCCTTCACCTTCTCCAGCTGCTTATTCAGAGGCACAGTGAGCAAACTGTGAGGTGTTACGTCGTCACCACCCTTCTTCTCGTACAGTGCAATCAACTTCTCCTCCTGCTCATTAGTATCTCCATTTCCACCACTTTTGTACAACAGGGAGCTGGCGGCGACGTCCTCTTCGTCCTTCTCGGATACCGGTCCAATATCAACAATGTGCGTATTGTCCGTCAGCCAAAGATGGAGTACACTCTTTTCCTCGTTATCTTTCTCATCTTTCTTGGCATACACCGGCAGAGTGACGAGCATCACTTTTTTATTATCATTTCCAACAGTCGCTGTGATGAACCCGCTCCTAACGATATCAACCTTTTCAACCCTTTTGTTGCCCCACACGCGCGAGAGTGTCCCGAGGGCCTCCGTCCACGACTCCCCCTTGTCACCGGACTCGTACACCCTGCGGCGGCCATCATCACACGCAGTCATCATGATGAGTTTGTCCTTCCACTCCACGACGGAGGGATCACCGCAGCCATCGGCAGACATCCCCTTCGGCAGCACCCAACCCGCAGCATCCGAGGAGTGAATGATCAGCGAAACAGTCCTCCCATCATTTTCTGTGCCATTCAACTTTTTCGTGCCTTCCACTGGGAACACAAGGGTGCCGTCATTCATCTTAACACCCGATCCACCGCTGCCAGTCAGCTTTGTCAAGGATTCGTGTTGTTTGCCTTTGTAATTCCACGGGATAGCATAAGTGTCGTTCCAAAGGATCCTTTTTTTACTTTCTGCCTCCTCACTGACGTTCCCTTTCACCAGCATGAGTCCCCAGTCGCCCGCATCGGCTGCCTGATCATCGGCGGTAAGTGTCCAACTGTAACTTCCAGCAAGCATGTAAATATCACTT